TGGGGAGAGGCCATGAAGTGACAGCTCCTTGGAGGAAGGCAATGGAAAATGAAACTCTGCTAGTAGGAGACCAGCCATTCTCCCTGTACTACAGAAGAGCCAACTCACCATCACTGCCTGAGTTTTTGAGGTGTTCTCCTAAATCACAGCCAAACACCCTCTCCCTGAGGATTCCCCGCTGCTTCAGGCGCTGTTTACTGGGCCTAGACTTCATGAAAGTACGAAGAAACCCAATGAGTTTGCCATGTTTCTTAGACACTGGAAGAGAACGAAAAACAGAGAGGGAAGATGGAGTAGAACTGAGCTTAGGAGCAAGGAGGCAAAGTCTTCAGCCAGCCTTCCTCCCAGCCTGACAATTAGCTCCCATCTTCCCCTATTTCATTTAGGTTGTAATTCACCTGAGGTTGGGGAGAGGAGGCCAGGAGTCCTGGGGAAGGCGCAGCTTGTCCCCTCTGCATCTACATAGGAAGACACAAATAAAGCAGCAAACTTTCAGAGAGAAGTAAGAAAGCAAGCCCCATCTCTGGGGGGGTGGGGGGAGAGAATAAGAAAGACACACAGCCCTAAGGGCAGCCTTCTTCGCAGACAGGTTGGGTTCATCCTCTTACGCCTCACCTCCCATTCTGGGGATGAGGCTTCCAGAAGCATTCAAACCAAGGAAGCAGTGAGTAAACAGTTTATTGAATAAGTCTCCAGACCATTTCAAGTCAAACCAAGTGGAACAGATTCAGAGAAGAGCAAGGAGGATCATCAGGGAAATGGAAATGAAATGCTACAAAAGCAGACTAAGAGAATTAAGTATATTTAGCCTTAAGAAGACTGAGAGGGTAAAATAAAACTCATCAAGTAGCTGAGATGGTAGCACACAAAAGAAGGCCATTGCTCTTATCTCAGGGTGCAAAACACAGAATAAATAGACTTTCATTAGAGGAAGGTGATGTATTTATTTATTTACAGAATTTATATATAATGATCCTAGGCAGCTCACAACAAGCAATAAAAACAAGGATAAAAACAAAACCACCCTTTCCACAGGTGCCAGACCAAACAAGCTCCCAGCTCAAACCCCATCCTAGCCCGATGCTTGGAAGAGCCAGGTCTCTGTGGTGTTCTGGAAGGTTAAAAGGGTAGGGGACCCTCAGATCTCAGGTGGGAGGCTGTTCCAAAGGGCTGGGACAGCCACCGAGAAGGTGTGCCTCTGAGATCCCCTCGCATGACAATTGTTAAGGGAGGGGACCTGGAATGCACCCACCCTATCTAACCTAGTAGGATGGACGGATACCATCATCTTAATAACACTCTGGATATAATGAAAAACCTCCTGTGCTATAAGGAGTTTGATAATGGAATTAAAGACCTCTAGAGAGAGGAGGCTCCCATTTGCTGGATGTTTTCAAGCAGCAGCTGGATAGACATTTATTAGTGATGCTTTCGTTTGATATCTGCACTACTCAGAGGGTACGCCCTGATGGTGTAAATGACATTTACCACTCTTGAATTCTAGGATCCTATGCTCTTCTCCAGCTCTTTCCACCACCTCAAACTAGTTCACTGATAACCAGAGGGGGGAACTTTTCCACAATGGCTCCTGCTTAGATATTTGCTTTAGCAAGGCCCAACTACACATTACTCCACTGCTAGACAGGAGGATGAAAGAAGACTATAGACCATTTAGCTCATTCCCTTACCTTGGTACAAAAATCCAGAGCACAGGATGCACTAACCTGGTTTGACTCCTGGGCTAGGACGTTCTGAGAATAGCTCTACACATTCACTGGGAAAGAAACCCACCTGGAAAAAAATAACAGAATCTCTCTGGTTACAAACAAAGTCCCACCATTATGGGAATAACTTGAATAGTTTACACTCATTCTACATTCACACGGAGGACAAAGAGAATTTTTGCAGCAGCAAATCCAGCCAGATCCCATTTTGAATGGATACTGCTTACACACTGATCCACACTTTTTCAATACCACTGCACAATTAATTTAATAACTTTTTAAAAGAAGACTAGAAAGTATTTTAGCATTAATTAAGAGACTGGAAAAATAGCACAGGGCTAAAACTGGAAAGGGAGCTAGCTGGGCTTTTAAAAATCAGTTTACTTTGTGCTGAAATATTTTAGACAGCAGTTATCAGATGATTCCTCTAATTCCTTCCTTCACAAAGGCATTCAAATGACAGCAAGTGGGGGAGAGTTCAAAGGGAAAGGGATGGGTTGGAAAAAGAGTTAAGAATCCTGTTGCTTATCTGTCATTTCTTTATGTGCTGCCTTGTCCTGGACCATTCTGCAGAGGAAAAGCGGACATGACAGTTCTTGTGCACTGCTCTCCAATCTAGCCATGCTGGCTGGAGAGTTCAGTGAGTTGAAATCCATACACCTGGAAGTTAACCACGTTGGGAATCACCATTTAACCCCACGTGGATGTCAAATACATGGTGGTGGCCAAACATCCCAGTTTCATTTACATAGCCTCTTTGCTCATGAAGTCCAACCTGGAATCCATGCTTCCCACGCCACCAGCTCCTATCCTCTTTGGGGGGCATGTCAATCACGGAAATGATGTCTCCAACCTATGCCAAACAGATTTTTTAAAAAGGATTAGATATCTTGCACAGAGATTCAACATCACATAGATGTATCCTAGTTTATTGCCCATACATCAAAGGAGGAAAATCCTCCACGTCTTTGAAAAGCAGTGCGCTGGTGCGCTGCTTTCATTTTGCTCAAGAGAAAATGCACTTCCAAACAGCATCTTATCTAGGAACAGAGATGGAACAGTTGGTTGCATGACAAGCTTCGAGAACCATGTGCCTACAAAGATAGGCTGTTAGAAGTAATGTGCGTTGCTGGCAGCGCTCACCTCAAAAGAGAGCTCATCGGATGCTTGCGCGGTGTAACGTTTAACCACGTGAGCAGCTGCAATGGCAGGAACATTGATCGAAGCTTCCTCATTCACCAACAGTCGGTTGCCGTGATTATCCAGCTGAAATGAAACAAGAAGAAGACAGCTTAATGAGATGCATCTGGAATGTCCTTTGGGTTTCAGGCCCCTAAAACTGGGTTGTAAAATAGGTACAGGGTTGCTACCTGTTTTCTGGCAGGGCAATTTTGCTTTTCAAGGCAGGAGTTCAGTTGATAACCAAAATACAACTGGAGTATCTATACTGCTCCTGAAAACATTACCCATCTACAGGGTGGCAACGGTGCCTTCATTTAGTTTTTCCACAATGCATTTCAAGCATTTCATACACAAATGCGCCTTTCCCAATCTGATGCTCAACCGATGTGTTGAAAAACTCTAAGCTTCTCATACGAGTTACATGTATGCATTTATTTAGTCAAATGACAATGCAGTGCAGAGAGAACAGACATAGTCTAGACAGATTTGCTTATGAATTTGACAAAGATGACGATCGGCCATTAGACATGCTTTACTTTAAGGATGAACCACTTGCAGGTCACATATGGCTTCAGCATCTTTTCTGGGGGGAAGCTGCAGTCATTCAAAATCACTCTGCCAATTTCTGGCAGCTTACTGCTGAGAAATGGAAATGCGGTTTATGAAAAAACAGCAAATAAGCTTTTTTATTCCTGGCATTTCTACACCCTGATATGTCTGCCTACAAACACAATCTCCTCTGGGAACTCTGGCACCAATTACTTAGGTGGTGTCATTGCCAAAGTTGCTACAGAATTGGTATACATTTAATAAAATAAATAAATCGCCATGTGCTCTGCCCCTCTCCCCCCATCTTTAATTGGCTGGCCTCCAGTCGACCAAACATCCTCTGGATTCTCACCTCCATCCAGGTGAGAACTGGGCTGCAATTGATATTGCTATCCACAATAGCAGAAAGCTTCTCCAGATACTGTGAAACCATAGGCACCAGCATCTGTAAGGGAGCAAAATAAATAATGTAAATAGGTATAGTCATTCCCAAATTCAAGTCTCAAGAAGAAACAGCAACAGCTTGAGAGAGGGGTGGGCTTTTGGGAAAATTCTTCACAGCAGTTCACCTTATCCAGTGATGTTCACTTTGAACTGCAACTATTTTCAAGAGCAGTTCTTCTCAACCTCAGCAACTAGATGGGTGGACTTCAATGCCCAGAATTCCCCCAACGAGCATTCTAAGCTACGACCCGTTCATTTATTCCAGGTGAGGGCTTTCCCCCTCAAACGTTGGCATAACAGGCCGATGCGCCAGTGTAACGGGAAACTACTCTGATCACGCTTCCATCATTCATCATCGCAAGATGACGCATTATGGTTGCTCCCAAGCAACAGACCTGAAGAAGTCTGGCTATCTTCATCTTTGCTGAACTTACAGGTCAACCCAAGGACCGGGAAATAGTAGCTTGCGAGAGAATGTGTTCCCTTACGCACACGAACTGCAAAATGGCTCCCAGACAGTCACCTCAGGATGAGCTTGTACGTGGCTGAGGGGTGGCAGTTCAGGCAGCTGAGAGAAGCGCCGGTCAAAGATACAGCAGTGCAGGTGAGCGTCCAATGTGCGGAATTCCTCATAGCTGCGATGGACCTGCCAACTTTTCCCCTGAAGCAAAGAAAGGAAACGTTGTAAGTGAGTTTACAAGCGAGACTGAAGCTTGTCAACGCTATTCAGGGTCAACCAACCTGAATGTATCAGGATGGCTAAGTTCACATGGCATGCTTAACCAGGGCCATTAGGCCTAGTAGCTGCATTCGCACTACTTGCTAAATTTAATCAGTTTTCATCTGAAATAGTTTTTTTTATGACTCAGCGTGTTGCAGGCATCCTTGGCCAGGGAGAGGATCCCAACTACTGAGGGGCTGAGAGCTGCCATTTTATTTTCCCACAATGCCTTGGCTCAACACTGAAGCAGGGGTATTGTGGGAAACATATGGTAACTCCCATGTCCAGCTGTCCTCTGCTGATGGGAGCACTGCCAATATTGCACTACCCCCAGATACAGAGGCATTATGGGAAAGTAAAATGGTATAGTCTTAGTCTACTCAATTTCCTGTTGCTGCTGCCTCTACTTGGCAAGTCCATCATGGCTGATTCCCACCCATATTCTTGGGGGGGCGGTCTATGAAAGGCCCTAGTTCTGTGCAGAAAACCTGTTGAATGTATAGAAGCTGAAACCCACATCCATCAATGTTCTTCCATCCATCCAATAATCAAAGATCTGCTTGGCTGAATCAAGTATGATTGGAAATAAAAACAGCAGATACTCAAGACTGATGGACCCTAAATATGTTGCTATTTTGCAGCTTTTAGCCTCCTCTGCACCACGTTATTTATGTACCATTCTTCCCAAATGTATATCCCAAGGCTAATCAACATAGGTGAGTTAAAATAAAATACGACATAATTAAAATGCTAGCCCCAAAATCCTCTGCCCAGTGAGAACAAATCCAAGCCAGCTTCAAACGCATTCGGACAGCAAACAACTCAATGACAGCATCTGAATGACAGCTTCCTTTCCCTCTAGATCTAAAAAAAGACACACTTTTCAAGTAAAATGCCAGGAAGAAAAAATATCTTAGTTTGCTGTCTCAAAGAAAAGAACAAAGCACCAGCCAAAATCGCCTCAGTTGTTATTTATGCTCATGTCATTACTGTGATAGAAAATGTTCCATATTGCAGATTCCCAAAGAAAGACCAGCTGTTAAAAATAGTCTCTATTTATTTATTTCATGTTAAGTAGCATTTATTTATTAAAAATATAGATTATCTCGCTGTATGGAAATGGTGCCCTTTCCTCCGCATCTTCAGATAAGACTTGTGAAATCTGACAATATCAAAATGTATATACTTTTATTCCAGGTTAATAGTTGTGTGGTTTCACCCTCCCCACACATATCATGAATACTGGAATTGTAGTCTTCAAGATTGCTAGGAAGTGATCAGTAACCCCTAACCCCCCTCATTTTCAAACTCTATACTGTAATTCCCGTGATTTCTTGGACAAATAGAATGATTATAACCTAACTAAAAAACTTAATTGTATGTCAAATGCAGCACGCATAAATCTACTCAGTTCTTATGAGAACTATATGTGGTAGTGGTTCAAGTGTTTGGGCCCACCTTCAGCCATGGAAGCTCTGGGTTAGCCATTCTCTCTCAGCCCAACATATCTCATAGATGTGTTGTTGTGGGGAAAAAAATGAGAGGAAGGAGCACTTTGTACACAACTTGGATTTTCTACAGAAAATGTGACATAGAAATCTCACAAATAAATAAATAGTCCTAACCAGATCAGGCTTTATGTCTATAGTAGAGTTTGGGCAATACATACATTACAGGTAGTCTTTGACTTATGACTACAATTGGGACTGGAATTTCCATCGCTAAATGATGCGGTCATGAAGTGAGACGTCACATGACTGCATTGCTCAGCAACACCAATCCCAGCACTCCCTGTTGCCATCATTAACCGAATTCCACTGGTTGTTAGCTGAGAAGCCACCCCAATCCAAGCCATTCCAGGCTTGGTCCCTCCCAGCCCCAAACCTCAGTAAGATAAGGGACTGCCTCCAACTCCCCCCACCCACTATCTCCCCCCATCTCTGCCCTTTTGGCCATCCTGCACCCTACCTTGCCAGGCCCTGGGAAGCTGCAGCCACCCCAGCCCAGTCCCAGCCTCAGTCGCCGTTGCCACCCTGTGCTACAAGGTCCCTGCCACCCCGTGCTCTGCCACACCAACTGACTTTTGCTATCTTCTTGCTCCTGCTGCTGCTGAGGCATGCCCAGCTTGGCTGTTGGGCCAAGCTGGGGCTGGGCAAAAGGACTTTTTGGTGCACCACAGCTCAGGGGCTGCTTTCTGCTCCCCCCCGCCCCCCCGCAGCACAAAGCCCAGCCCCAGCCCAGCCCAGGTGCGCAGTGTAAAGAGGCTTTTTGGCACACTGTGGCTTTGGGGCTGCTTTTCGCTTTTTTTTTTTTTCTGCAGTGTGAAGCCCAGAATGCAAGGCAGCAGGGGGCCAAAAGGGCATAGATGGGGGGAGAGATAGGTGGGTAGGGGGGAGTTGAAGCACCCCTGCAGTTGTGTGGGTGGGCTGCCAAGCACCTGAATTTTGATCATGTGACCGTGGGGGTGCTGCAATGGCCGTAACTTTGGGCACAGGTTGTAAGTCCCTTTGTTCAGCACCGCTGTAACTTTGAACGGTTGCTGAATGAATGGTCATAAGTCAAGCACTATATATTATTTGACTGTTATAATTCCTTCTTGGAGTAGCAGCAACTAATCAATAGAAAGCCCTGCTCCAAATGATAAGAGAGTGTAACTCAAGGAAACCAACTCAACAGGTTTTGCCCACTATTGTTGTCACTCTCACCTGACAGGTTACCTGAACAGGAAACAACAGGCTCCCCTCCTCCAAATTGCTGAGGTTTTCATTTTGATCAGGGGCAAACTGAAGCTGGAAGGAGCAAACAAAAAGCAGTTACAGGGTGTTTCAGTTTTAACGTCATTCTGCCCACTTACCAAATGCCCAGTTTGTCAAAGAGATCCAGGATCCAAGGGATATTTGGGTCCAATATCCTTGGAAAAGGGAGGGATGAATGCACTCACGCACCTGGATGTGTCCAAAGTCCACAGCCTCATAGTGGAAATGGGCACATTCAGTCAACTTGGGGAAGTGGCCTCGTGTGATGGAAAGTCTGTGAAGGAAGAAAAAGACCCTAGAAAATGAATCAAGCAAATTGAAAATTCCAAATTTCAATCTCATGAGGAAGCCAAGGCATTATGATCTAAGACAAAGGTGAAGAAACTGTGAAATTGCAACTACCAGCACCCTTTATCATTGGCCATGCTGGCTAGGACTCCTGGGAAGCGTAACTTCTCCATCTCTGTCTTAGGAAAAATACTAAAAGCAACCACTCCTAGCCCAGCCTTACTGTGATCTCCTGAGCCTCTCCCTCTCTTTGTATTTATCTCCATTTTAATTCCATTGCTTGATGTAAGCCAGTCTTCTGCAACCTGGAACCTCCAGATGTGCTGGGGCTGCAAGACCCAGAATTCCTAGCATGCTGGCTAGGAATTCTAAGAGAAGAAGTCCCAAGACATCTGGAGGGCCCCAAATTGGGGAATCCTGAATGCCTTCAGAAGCCTTCTTCATTATCAAGATGCTTTCAGGCTTGAGTTTATTATGCAGTCACCTTGATACACTCAAGGCTTGTTACCAAGCACCAGTGGGGTGGCACCTTTCATTTGGGACCCTCCTATATTTTACTACCGCTTCTATTTTTCTTCTTGCTGCAGCAAATCCATTATGAACAGAAAGAGAAACTAACTGCAGAATATCTTTGGAATGAGCTTTGGAAAGCTCTCCCTCTGGAAGGAGCTGACAGATCTCAGTTTGCTTACACATCACAAGTCTATGTTCCTCGGTACTTCCTCTGCCCCAAAGTTACCTCTTGATTGGTTTTCCCTTGAGGTTACTGGTGGCATTCCCCAAAGTACGGACTTGTCCCTCGCCTGTTGCATCAATGCTGTCTGTGCTCCGAGCCTGTGTGGTTAAAACAAGCAAAGTATGCACAAATTTCATGGTGCATGGTTCATAAATGTTCTCCAGAGGTCACTGTCTTAGCTCAGCTATTGTACTATATTTCCATCCAACAGCCAAGAGAAGAAATAGCTGTCGGAGAAATTTCATGGGGGCTCAAGCAGATAATCTCAGGAATTGTTCTCTAATGTGGTGTAAGTAGACCTCCGCTCATGCGACAGAACTTCCCCTTCTTCCCTCCCCCCGTTTCACCCCCTCCACTCCCCACTCCTCAAATATGTTCCAGAAAGTCTTGAGTGGCTGCACAGGAAGAAATACATTTTTTTGACAGATATCTTTCTCTTGGTGATAACTAACAGCCTCCAAAAGATGTAATACTCCAATCCCAAGTCTGCCACCCTGTACCAAAAGTAGACCCTGTCTTGTTGGGGTCTTTTAATGCTGAAAATCTGCTTCGGGGAAGACCAAGGAAAAGGTGTCATTAATTCTAGATATTTCTGGGCACAAGCTGCTGCAAACAGGAAAAAGTGATTTTAACAATACCTTAGAGAGTAAATGCATGACAGCGAACATGTTTACACTGGAGTGCAGCATTCAATCAAATGCTTCTGATAGAAAAGAATGTATATTTAACTAATGGAATACACGCCCATGGCAAGCTAGCTGCTAAAATTATCATCACCATTGTCACCTCGCCCATCCTCCAAGGAACTCAATGGCATAAAAATGTGGATACCCCTCCCTTTTTCCTTGTAAGAACCTTATGAGGTAGGTGACCCTGTGAACTTTGCAACCCAAGGGTGATTCCTAATGCAAGCATTTCCCAGTCTAGGTCCAATATGTTAATAATTATAGTAGCTGATTTGCTCATCTACCTCTGCTGCATGGCACAGGAGAGAGAGAGATACAGGTTTCTTCTAATGAACTATACATTGAAGGGAACCAGGAAGGGAAGAAGCTATATTGCTTCCAATGGTACCATGGGTGAGCTCACAATTTGCCTTGAATAAGAGTTAAAAGGTGATCTAGTCCTGAAATGACTACTCCTTTAAAATCCAGCGTCTCTGATTCCTGCTTTAAACATTCTCATGGTGAGTCCACTCTCTTGTAAAACATTTTGTTCTACAATCAAATAGACCGTACAATCAATAAATCAAAATGCCCTGTCTTGAAACCAGGTCTATCAACTGGAATAAAACCAAATAAAATAAATTATGGTAACCCTACACATAGCTGAAAATACCTATCAAGTCCCAGTCCCTTCAATCCTTCGTTATAGAGCCTGTCTCTGAGGCTCTCACCATCTCTGCAGCTTACTGCAGGCTCCTCCCACTTTGTGGAATTCAACAAAGTGCTAAAGTTCTAATAACTGAACAAAGCCCTCCACTCAATGTATGATCAAAGCAGAGCACGGCAATTCTTCTCACGATGCGGAAACTACATTGCTGTTAATGTAAACTATAACTGGAAATTGACAGATCACTGGGCAAGCTTCAAACCAGCAATCTTCCTCTTTCTTTCAAAGTCATGTGTTGTAAAACAACATGTCCGTTGGTATTGCCACATGCCTAAAATTTCCCTGCTCCTCCTTCCAGGCTGTTACTTGTGAAGATGGGGAAACATGAAGTGTTTACTATGCATTTCTGGGGAAGGAGAACACTTTTTTGAGACTACCACATGGCTCCTCTAAAACGTTTTAGATTTTTACCCAGAAACCCAAAAGTCTATGTGATCTTCAAGTCCTACAATCAATAGGCTAATGCTCCAAGAGCTGGTTTTGATCTCCCAACTCTAAACCAGCCTTCTAGTACTGAGTACCCCCAAGATATGTTGAGCTACAACTCGCATCATATCCAATTCTGGCAGGTGATACGTAAGAATGATGGCTCAAAACATCTTATAGGATCAAGCTGGAGAAGACTGCTATAAAGGGCCAGGACTAGAAGAGATGAAGAACTACCATCTATCCTACGAAGCTGCACATTCACTCATATTGGAGAGAACCACCAGAGATCGTTCTGGCGTTTTGTGTTCTAATTAGCAGAATCTCTGATGTTTGACAATAAGGACTCAAGTTGACGATGACGGTTTCCACAACTTCTGGAAGTGGTCAGGTTGCTTCATCCATCTATCTCCCTTTGGAAGATTAAGAGGTGACAATAAGAGTAGGGCTTTTTAGGTAATGGTACCCAATCTCCAGAAGATCCTAACTGGAGATGCCCATTTGTATCTACTAAAGGTGCTAAAAATACAGCTTTATTTCCACAGACTTTTAATCTAGATAGTTGAATCTTTTACTAATTTTACAGTTCCAATGCTTTGTTTATGCTACTTCCTGATTATATATTGGAATACAGGACCTGCATCAGAGCTCACACAGAGATCTTGTTGTCTTTTCCTTTTTGAATGGTGACACCAGAGGTTGAAGCTGAGATCTTCTGATTAGAAAGCAGTTGTTCTACCTCTATAGTTCCCATTCAATTCATTATAATCTTTTGCATTTAAACTACTAAGGTAGAAAAATGATTGCAAAGTTTCACTTGGGTATATGTATTATTTGACTCATCTCCAGTCTCATGGACATCCTGGGAATGGAACGCAGCTAACCGGTTGTAACTCAAATGTGCAAGAGCTGTTGAAAGACTTCAGGGCCACAAGCAGAAAGCCCTCCTATCATAACACAACATGAACCTTTTAACTCATGGTAGAGAACCTGTGACTTTCTACATGTTCCTGAACCAAAACTCCCAGCATCCTCTTAATTGTTCGAGCTGGCCAGAACTTCTGGGAGTTGCAGTACAGAAAAACATGAAGAGCTGCAATTTCCCAAGCTTTGTGTTAAGTGAAAATGTCAAGATTGCACCTAGGGGAGACTTCATGTGAAGCAACTATTCTACCAGTGAGATGAAGTCCCATTCAGTAAGTCTTTGTCCCATACTGCTAGAGGAATCCTTCACCGAACCCAAAGTGGAAACAACTTGGGCCAACAGGAAAAACTCTGCAAAGCAGCAGAAGCCGTTATCCACAGGCAGGGAGGCTGAGCCATGCAGAAATGCTGCACAAAGAGCCAGGCAAGCACATGAATTGTATATGCTTGTACTGTACACGTTTTCCATGGCGTTGGCTGAATTCACCATCTTGTTCCTTATTTTTTATTTATTCTTTATCTATCTTGTTTTTCTTTATTCATATTGTATTTTATTTTGCCCAGAGCCATTCTGGAGTTGGGCAGTGACTAAACCAAGTGAATTAACTTGAATCAAATCAAATTAACTGTCTTTGTACACTATGCAAAGACGACTTCTGAAACATATGCACCACTGAATGAGAAGTTATCACGTACTAGGATGCATGATCAGTTGAAACATTTCTCCCCTGCCTTTTTAAAAATTTGTTTTGTTCTCTCTAATCTTCTTTCCAGCCTCCCTCTATATTTTCCATTTTCTTGTTTGCCTTCTGGAAATTCTCTTTCTGATTATCCTTTGGAGGACCATCAGATATCAAGTCAGACTTTGAGCTCCATGTAGCTCCATACAAACCATGGACCTTCTCCTCAAAACCTTTCCTTCAGAGCATATTCTAAATATATGACAGGCACTATTGTGTAGTGGACAGGGTGTCAGACTATAACCAGGGGAGATCAAAATGTTAATGGCTGCACTATTCCTGAAACTGATCAGATGGCCTTGGAGAAGGCACTACCTCAGACTTGCTATGAGAATAAAGTAGAGTTGGGAGGAGAAACATGTATGTCACCTCAAGTTCCTTGGGGAAAAACAGAGTCCCTAATCCCAACATCCTCACCAACTAATAGTGGCACCCTCTGAAACTTGCATTTAAACAGAATTGTGCCTGTTCAAACAATGCACAGTTACCACATATCAGATAAAAAGGAGACACAATTCAGCTAACTTTGCTACAAAAACAGTGCAAGCAAATTACGTTAAATCTTTCCTGGACAGGAAAAGCCTGACCAGAGTTTGGAATCTGGTACACTAAATTAACTTTGAAGGTCATTTGGAAATTGAAACAGGCCCGAAATTAGGGATGTAAAATCCTGGAAGGAAAATATCATTTTTCCTTTGGTCTTTATAACGCTATACAAAAAGGAAGTTGCGAAACCAACTGGGTCTGGCTTAACACAACTGCAATTAGCTCCCCATCTTATTTTCATACAGAATTCAAAAAGCGGATGTTATTTAAAAAAAAAAATAGAAAAGCTTCAGAAATCAGCATCTCTTAAGAAGTCCCACAAGATCTTTCGAAATACTTTTATCTTGCCTGATCTTTTGAGGGATGCTACAGCAGTGAATCTTCTGCATCAACAGGTAGTCGGAGGAGAGTTAGGGATGGAGAATCAGTGCCCCTCCAGGCACAATGAATTCCAACTTAGCTCTGACTTGCATGACCAATTATCATGAATGACAGAAGTTATACTTCAAGGTTCGGAAGGCAACACGTTCTCCACCTTAGGACTAGGTGGCCTCTATGGCTGTTTCTAACTAACAGCTAACAGCCATGGCTTCTGTAACTATCTGTCTTAATGACGTTCTTGTGCAATGGGACCCAAAAGGGGAAATTAGCCTCTGAAATCAAATCCTGAAGGAAGGAACCCACCCAGTGGGAGGGGCCTAAAAGACACTTGAGTCCCAGTGAGGAGAGCCATTAGGGTTTCCCAGCTTTGGCTGGCAGGAGGCCTTCCACCAATCAGAGAGCCCAGCCTAGATAAGAAGGGGAAACTGAGAGATTTCAGCAGAAAAGGTGAACAAGGGAGGAAGAGAGAGAGAACCATCCAAAAGATGAAAAAGAGACCAAGCCCAGAGGGAGAGGGTCCAGCAGGGAGGTGTGGGAGGAGAAGGGATTGCACTGAGAGCGAGGAGACAGCAAAGGAACTGTTTTCTGGCGGGAAAAAAAAGTGGGACAACATATAGACCACCCTGGAAGCTATGATATGCACAAGGAGACCTGTTGGATGAGGGAGTGTCACTGACTCAAGGTGG